CCATCTCCAACTCTCCAACACCATGTCTCGCCTCCTTCCGCCGCCACTTTTTCACCTCCCTTCGACCCTCTCACCTTCAATCCGCCATTGCCGCCGTTGCAACCACCTCACAGTTTCTTGCACTCATTGCACCACTCCTCATCACTCCAACAACATACCCACAAGACTATTAAACAAGACAACGACAAAAACGGGGGAAGCATGGTGGTGGGTTTAGATTTGGAGATGGAGGGAGGAATTATTACTTCAAACATCCCAACAGATCATCATCATCATCATCATCACCACCACCAACTTGGTGATCAAGATCATCAACCTTGGTCTAGTGATGAAGTTCTTGCGCTGTTGAGGATCAGATCTAGCATGGAGAATTGGTTCCCAGAATTTTCTTGGGAACACGTGTCAAGGTACTTACTTACACAATTTATATATAATTCATTCTGATTTGATTCACGCATACATATATATATAATTCACACATACGTAGTACTGTTATTTGTCCTACTTTCCACCTCTATCCTCCTGTACTTTTCTCCCAAGCACAAGTTTTTAAATCTTCTGATTCAAAATCATCAATCTTGAAGCCTATGTGGGCTATCTTTTGGGAAGATTTGATCTTGATCTTGATCTTGATCCGACCTTTATATATATATATACATGACTGACTTTGTTGAATTATATGTGAGATGACATAAAGAGAGAAACACATATTCGTATATATATATATATACATATATGAATAATAATTATTAAGTTAAAAAAAAATCCCATCGTGCACATATTTTATGGCTGAGAGAGGATATCAGTATTATATATATATACATGTGTATATATAGTAAGATGGGGAAAAAAAAATAAATGCTAGCGTGCACAGGCGTTGTGTTGGTTTTTATACAATTAATGGTGGGTACAGGAAGTTTGCAGAGCTTGGATTTAAAAGAAGTGCAGAGAAGTGCAAGGAGAAATTTGAAGAAGAAAGTAGCTACTTCAACAATATTAATCATAATCAAAATAATTACACCAAGATCAATGGCAGTTACAGGGTTTTCAGTGATGATCTTGAAGAGCTTTACACTGAACATGATGATCATGTTGACGATGATAATCATCAACATGTTGTTAATGTTGAAAGGAACGAAACAGTGGAGGAAAAACCAAGTGAGGAAGAAGACAAGAGTCCAAGACAGGATAATTTGAATGACAATTATAAAGATCAAGATGATCAGACGGCGGAGATAAAAATAAACCCATCTGGCATTGATGATGATATTAAATCAAGGAAGAGAAAAAGGGAGGAGGAGCAGAAGAAGAAGAAGATAAAGGAGGAGGAGTTTGAGATGTTCAAAGGGTTCTGCGAGGAGATTGTGAAGAATATGATGATTCAGCAAGAAGAAATGCATAACAAGCTGCTTGAAGACATGGTGAAGAGAGATGAAGAGAAGGTTGCAAGAGAAGAAATTTGGAAGAAGAAAGAGATTGAGAGAATCAACGAGGAACTTGAACTGAGAGCTCAAGAACAAGCCATTTCAGGTGACAGACAGTCCGCCATTATCAACTTCT